ACTACTTCTTCTTCTTAGTAACTAACTAACTAACTAACTAACTAACTAACTACCTACCTACCTACCTACCTACCTACCTACCTACCTACCTACCTACCTACCTACCTACCTACCTACCTACCCACTACTGCTACTCCTACTTTTGCTGCTACACTACCTCTCCTTCGGTCAAGAGCTCCGAGGTTGTGCAGCTGACCTTCTTCGACAATATGTTGATGACGTGGCTGCCTCTTTAAGTTTTAGGGCTTCAGGTTGTAGGGTCTAGGGGTACCAGCAAGGTTGCTAGTAATGTTACTACCAGTATAAGGGTTTCTGAAGATTGATTGGGGTAAATGTTTTGGGCTTCAGGCTTTAGGTTTGTCTGAAGTTATCCAAATCTCCAAAAGTCCGAGGCTAGCGGCACGAGCACCAGTTTGCAGCCGCGCTCATGGGGTGTTAGTGTCATCATCATTAACGTCAGATCACAAGCCAGTCACGACGCATGAATAAGCATGCACCTGACCGCCGCCACTTCATGACCCTGCTCCCTCAGCATCGAAGCTTTTCTTAAATCCCTCCACACTAAACCCTCACTCAGACACACTCCGTCCTCAGCATGTCTTCGATCCTAAACCCTATAAACCCTTAACACATAACTCCTTCTAGACCGGTACCTCCAAGATCCCAGCGCCCGAAACCCTGCAGATTAACACCTACTACCGAGGTCTGGATTCCGCGTTGTATCTGTAGTAATATAGAGGCCTTAGTCATTAGAATAGGGTTTGGGGTGTGTGTGTATATATATATATATATGTATGTATGTATATATATATATATATGTATATTATATACTCTTTTAGAGTAGTAATAATAATAAGGCACCCCCCAAAATCCCAAGCTTACTCAGGCCCCTACAATATTCTCTCTGAGGCTACGCTGCTTTGTCTTCGCAATCAACCCGACGAGTTGGTGCGGCGCCGATCTGTTTCAGAGCTCGTGGGCTGCAGGGGCTTAGACCGCAGTGGCCCTTTGGAGTTCACGGTTTTAGGCTTTATCACGTTTTGGAGGTTTAGGGTTTCATGGGGTTTAACAGTTTTAGGTGTTGCTGTCGCAATGGTTATGCCGGTCATTTTGATTGTAGGACCGATCTTGTTTCAACCTAGTGTGTAACATTTATGGCTCTGTCACCGAAGTTGTGGAGCAATACAGTTGAGTTGGCAGCCAGCCACCCTCGGAACGAGATGCACAAGCACACAATAACGAGGTCAGAGGGTCGCAGGAGAAATCTGTAATTGCAATGAGAGCCGTTTGGTAGCCTGATCCCTCGAGCTTGGAAACCCGAATCGCCTTGCCCCGAGCATGAGTTCGTGCGGGCCTGCCCGAAATTGTTAGACCCAGATGAACATTCAGGTGCGAATGCATGTTTAGACATCGTTCGAAGGTCGTGTAAGTCTCCCAACACGATTCGTTCCAGATGTTCTTTGCCATTTCCCCCACAAGGTTTTCTGTTGCAACCCAAACATGCACTCACTTCATGCAACTGTCGTTTCTTTGTGCAGCCGTTGATACGGATTGAATTTTTTCATAACCATTAATTCCATCACATTTTGCTCTGAGAACAAAAAATTTTGTCGCCCAACAGTGGGAACCCGCAAGCCCAAACCTACAACCCATGGATCTCCCCTGAAATCTATTCGCCAGTGTGAATTCTCTCCCCTAACCCCCCAGGTGCCTACTATAGAGGGTACTAGTGCCCCTAGAGCCCCTAGGGCCCCATATAGTAGCTACCTGGGGGTTAGGGTAAGTTTAAGCCCTCAGCCCCAAAACGGCCCAGGACCGATGTCAAGCGCATCGACCCCGACGACCCAAGGAGAGGTTGCTCCGTGTTTGGAGTTTGAGACTTCGTGCTTGGGGACCGTTGTAGCATGAGCCCTAACCCTCCAGGTACCTACTATATATATATAACTATATATAGGGCCCTAGGGGCTCTAGTACCCTATATAGTGTAGGTACCTGGAGGGTTAGGGTGAGGGCTTGGGGCTTAAGGTTTGGAGCTGCCACTGCGGCATCGCGGCTTAAACCTGGGATTTCACGGTTTAGGGTTTAGGGTTTAGGGTTTAGGGTCCTCGCTTTTCTTCGTGGCAGCCGAGTTTTTTTCGAAGCGATGGACCTTTGATTCTCAGCCCCCCAAAACCCGAAACTCGGACCCCTAAGCCCTAAGCCCAAATATAAGGGCCGAAATAACTACGTATACTATTTTGGGGGCTCCTTGTTATAATTATCGTATTAAATACCCCCAAACCCTATTCTAAGTATTATGGCCCCTACATTAGTCCAAGGAGTTGTTTGTTCAGCCCTCAGGCCTGGTCTTTGACCACATGGGGTCAGCAGGGTGGCGGGGGCCAGCGGGGTTAGCATGGGGTTTAGGGGACTGTCAGAGCATCTGAACTATGTGTAGGCCATCACGTACCTTGAGGGTCATAGCGCACCGGGATTTGGAGTGGCTAGTGGGTGGCTACTTTCATGATCCGTACCTGCTATGTCGACAGGTAGGGACGTCAAAAAGGGGCAGGCTATGCCCCCTCCTTGTACAGGTCCGTTTCCAAGGAGGAAAAAGGCCGACCGAGAAGCAGTCCATTGAATCCTTCCGAGGTTTGAAAGACAAAGCAAAAGCGGAAAATAGAACTCGCTCATCCAGCTGAACCTTGAAGCCGCACACTGCAGACCGCGGAGGCAGCAGAAGCCGGCTCAATGGACTCAGCCGTTGGGTGTGTAACCTCTGCAGACTTTCGGGTTGTACAACAGTGAATGCAACCAGAATCAGAAGTGTAGCCATGCTTGGGACAAAGAACCGGGCAACTACGTAGCCATGGCCACTCCCTGAACAGGACGGGTCGTTCCCGGCTGAATGTGTCGCGCACCCGGATGACACGGTGATGGAAACTTCGAGACTCCAGGTTAATTAAGGGCTGCAGGGTCCTTTCTGAACGCTTGAGGTTTGCCGTTTGTCAAGCTTCTTTGGTACTGCTTCTATTAATTTCTATTATTACTATTGCTCTTGTTGGCAGTAGCAGCAACAGTAGCAGTGCCAGCAGCAGTAGCAGTAGCAATGCCGGCAGCACTAGCAGTAGCAGCAGCGGCATCAGCGGCAGTAGTAGTAGTAGTAGTA